ACAATTTTCCAAATCTTCACAAAAATCACTCACAATAATTCACAAGAATGGAATTTGCGTGGCTAATCACATTTTTATTTATTAATTTTTACAAAATTAATATGAAAATTAAATCAATAAATATTGTACCCCTTACAGAATTAGAAAAATCTTTTTATTATATACCGGATATTGATGCCCTTTAACGTTAAGGTAAAATTTTTTTGGTTTTTCAAAGGAAAAAATATGGAATTATTATTTTATTTTTAAAATTTATTTTTGTTTAATATTATTTTTAAAAAATTTTCTTTCAAAACATTAAAGATACAAAAAAGATGCTGACAAAATCAGGGCGGGAATTTAGTGAATCAGTTGGGGAATTTTAGCAACATCACATTTTTTGCAACATCACATTTTTACAAAGATGCCTTTAAATAATTTTTAAAAAAGTGAATTGAAGATCAATAGATGCATAAGCTAGACCAGCACCAAAAAAATTATTTTAAATTTGGTTTTCTAAAATAAATATTATTGAAATAAATGGTTTCTTTGTTCGCCGATTATCATCCTTCACAACCGGTTATTAACCGAACTCAAGTTTTCGTTCACACCGGTTTTCGATCCCATGGTTTCAGTTTCCCGTTCGGTTATTTGATGGTGTCCAACCATATTGACCAATTTGTTGAGGAATTTTTTTGAATCGAATGCGAGCTTACAGCTTTAAACTAGGGTTTGACCCCGACCCCGTTCCCGAACGATTTTTTTACGATTCTCCCCGACCCGAACCCCGCCCCGATTTAAAGTGAAAACCCCGTTCCCCTACCCGAAAAATTTCGGGATTTTATATACCCAAAAAATGCCATTTTTGGGAAAAATATATGAAGAAAATTTAAAAATTTTCCACCTAAATTACAATAATTATTTACATATTCCGATGTTGGCGTTCTGCCCATACAAAAACAAATATTTAGATAATTTTATTAAAAATAAAAATTTTCAACAAAAGTTCTAATGCCAAAGACGTTAGACATATGGAAATTTTTCGAAAAGCACTTCAGAAAATTCTGCAAAATGTTTAATATGCGATAAAATCTTGGCTTGTAATAAGGGGTCGACGAGGGTTTATGGAACAATTTCAAGTCTATGCATGAAAAGGAATATTGTCAATTTATGAAGCAGGAAGAAGTAATCTTTTTCGTTTTTTCTATAATGTAATTTATTATTTGGATACTTTTTTTATTTCTTTTTGTTACTAATAATATTTGGTATCTTTTGTGTATCAAAATCAAAAATATTTTCTAGTAGTTTAAATTTGAGAGTTTACATGGTTGTCAAAATTAATTTATCTCAAAGTAAATGGAAAAGATGGTTAAAATCTGCTGAAAAGAGAGAGAATTAGATTTCATAAAATCTATTTTTAAACAAAAAACAAACAATCAATTGGCTAAACTTTTTAAATATTATCATACCGTATAGTAAATTTTTCGTTAAAGAATTCTAATAATGTGATTAAATAATAATAAAAATTAAATGTCGATAACTAAGAATTAATATTTTTCCAGTTTATTAAAAAATTAAGTTTTTAAAATTTGTCGAGTAGAAAATATATACAGGAATTAAAAATTAAATAATTAATAATACTTGTTTATTTTTCATTTTTATTTTTATATCTCATTCCATTAAAAGAAAATATTGTTAAAAACAAAGTTCACTATTAGCTTAAAATTAGAAAAAGGAGGACAAATTCTAAGTAAATCAAAGATAGTCCAAAAAAATAATAAGAATTTTGTTGACAAGCCAAAAAAGCCACGAAGGAATAAAACAACAATTAAAATCTAACTATAATAGTAAATTATTAAAATTAAAAATGAGTATAAACGCAAGTGCTTAATTAAATTTTGATTTTAAAAATATTGAATTGAATACGGAAAGATGCAGCCTCTATTAATTTATAGATTTCAAAAAATAACATTTAGTTAAAATTAAATTATTAAATATAAATACAAATAACAAAAGGAAATAAAAAAAAGTATCCAAATAATAAATTACATTATAGAAAAAACGAAAAAGATTACTTCTTCCTGCTTCATAAATTGACAATATTCCTTTTCATGCATCTTTGTAAAAATGTGATATTGCAAAATTATGGTTTCACTACCGTTTATCAAGTTAGAAGACAGCTAAAATTCCCCAACTGATTCACTAAATTCCCACCCTGATTTTGCCAGCATCTTTTTTGTATCTTTAATGTTTTGAAAAAAAATTTTTATAAAAATAATATAAAACAAAAATAAATTTTAAAAATAAAATAATAATTCCATATTTTTTCCTTTGAAAAACCAAAAAAATTTTACCTTAACGTTAAAGGGCATCAATATCCGGTATATAATAAAAAGATTTTTTTAATTCTGTAAAGGGTACAATATTTATTGACTTAATTTACATAATAATTTTGTAAAAATTATTAAATAAAAATGTGATTAGCCACACAATACCATTCATGTGAATTATTGTGAGTGATTTTTGTGAAGATTTGGTAAATTGTGAACGATTTTGACGGTCTATTTTTTTATATATTTTGTAACACATAAATTCAACAATGGGAAATTCTATTAAATCTCCGTCATGGAACGTATTTGTATGAGCAATGTAAAAGATAATTCCGTCAGTAAAAAGTTTAATTCCAATGTTATTTGCAGCTAGTCTAAGTGCTTGATCTCCAGCAACATTTACTTATTCTTGATGCTTCAGCATCATTATTCTTGTGATAAAGCACATTTGGTAGTTACTGTCTTTATTAGTTGTTTCCTCAGATAAACTGGGGAAAACAATTCTGACAAGGAAAAAAATCCGGAATGGAATGATTAAAATTATATAGCCGAACAAAATGGCTGTTACTAAACATGCCAAAGTTCTCTGTCCACCTGTTACAATTGTTAAATGATTGCCTATTTCTTTGAATAACGGGTACAATATTCATAGATTTGATTTCTTAATATTTTTCTAAAAATAATAAAAAAATGTAATTAGTAACACAAACATCATTTGTGTGAATTCTCGTGAAATTTTGAATGGTGTAAACGCCTTTGCCCGCCTACTTTATTTAACGTATTTAAGGTTTTCTTTCTGAACATTTTATCGTTTTGTATTTTTATAGGGCAACACAAAAAATTTTTACTATTTAATGCCCTCCATTTAATTTTTTACTATTTTCAAGTTTTTATTTCCCATTTTATTTGCAGAAAAATTTTTATTTTTATTTAATTTTATATATTTAAATTTTTCATAAAATAAAAATAGGTTTGAGAGGAAATTCTGTTTCTGATAGACAGAAGCCAGGCTTACATAAGAACAATTTCCAAATGAAAAATAATTTTATATTTTTTCAATTACTTTTTTTGATGCCATATATTAATTTTTACCTGTAAAAATAGAATTTAAATTTTATCTCTTCATTTAAATTTAGAAATTAAAAGTCTTTTTTAGAGAAATGTCTTCGACCGGCAATAAATTATTATTGCTTTCATCCTTTTGGAAATTGTTTCTGTATTCAATGTTTTGTCCAATAGGACAAGGGCTTGATCACACATGATCCCTCTTAACTTAGTATGGAATTATTCCTTGATATTCTATCCAAATACTTGATATCCCACACCCTTCCTAACCCTATTAAAATATTTGGACTTGCAAGTGAAATTGAAATAATTTTTCGAGTCCGGCTGAATTTATCAAGATTCCGTAGTCTTTTCCGGATTTTTCAGAAAAATGTAGAACCAAAGGAAATCGTAGTATCAAGAGTTATTTGGAGAGATTAAAGGCTCGACGGGTATTATGAGATGACCTTTTCAAGTTCTTGAACATTGATTGGTGGTTTTTCGGTTTTGTTTTCTTGGACAGCTCTATATCACTTTATCCTACAAATTTATATTCAAAAATACTTATTGTTTAGTAGGCTAGATCCCTGATCTAGCCTACTGTCTGTATCCCAAAAACTCTCGATCTCGATAACCAAGATTTTCAATCGAGATCACGTCTTGGCCCGGTCCCTGAAAAAGTTTAAGCTCTCTTTAAGCTTTTCTTTAATCATCGATCTCTCTATTTATCTATAAAATCAACCTTAACTGTTACTCCCAATGATCCCTTGATATAAACCCTCGAAAACCTTGTTTATCTCCTAAATAATTTCTTATGGCCAATTTAAATACTTGTAGTTAAGAATTTAATTTAGATTTTAAAAATAGAATTTAAAATAGAATTTAGAATTAAAAAATTTAATTTAATTTTAGAATTTAAAAAATCGAGAAATCAATGCATTATTATTGCCATTATTATCCATTATAATAATGGATCAATGTTAAAAATCATCATTGATTTTTACTTGACTTTAGGTTAAAAATCCGGTCAAAGCCATAACAAAAATCAAGTCTCGGTGTCAGAGATTTTTTATCATAATTTTATCTTGATGTTAAAATCTTTAAAATTAAAATTTCATTTTGGAATATCATTATTTATTTTCAATTTAATTTTAAACCTATAAAACGAGAGTTTAAAATTATTAAATTTATTCGATCAAAAGAGATAAAATTGAACTTTCAAAATCTTTTTAAATTTTGAAAATCGCTCAGAATTGACCGAAAAATAATATTTTAAACTTTTAAAAAGTTTTTTTTTGATTTAAATGGTCAAATTTTGGGTGATATTCATAGAAGATGGTGGTGGGTTAGTTTACCCGCAGCTGCGGGTAAGCATCGAGTTCTGGGTTGATTTTCTTTGAATAAGGGTTAACCCTCAGCTCGGTGTTCTATTACCCGGGTAAGAGAACCTGGTAAATTTACCAGGTACCCTTACCTCGTTCTCTGAATACCGCCCCAGGAGAGTGAACAAAAAAATTTTCCAGTGCACAATTTTCCAGTGCATAGTTTTCCGGCTCCCACTTTTCCTTACGCTTAATTACATAATTGTTATTATAGTTTTTATGAAATTAATTACTTAAAATATTTTTAAAATAATTTCAGAAAGTAATGAAACTTTCAATTATTTTATTTCTTTGGTTGCCTCATCTTGTTCATTCAACTAATAGCGATGAAGAAAAAGATGAACAAAATTATTTCAATCATTTTCAATATCAAAATGTTGAAACAAGCGGGGCAGGAACTAGTGGCCATGGAGGAACTGGAACTGGAAGCATACTCCCAAGTACTGGAGGATACTTTCAAGGAATGACTTCTGGCACAGAACATTCCCAAAATTTGTTAGATTCGAATCGAGGTTTTGGCAATAATCCATTTTTAAACTCACCTCAACATCTACAAGTGAATCCTTATGGTCAAGTACCTCGAAATTTTTGTGATTTGCAATTAGGAAATAATCCTTCTGGTCAAGATTCTTCTCAAAATCGGTTAAATTTGGATTTAACTCTTGGCAGTAATCAATCTGTATACCCAACTCAAGATCAACATATTGGTGCAGAATACCATCAAGGAACGAATTTTTCTGGTCAAGTTACTTCTTTAAATCATTCAAATTTAGATTTAACTCTTGGAATGAATTCTAGTCAAACAGGTAAGAATGGAACAGTAATAAAAATAGTAGAAAAATAGATGCGTAGTTGACGTTTATTTGCAATAAAGTTTTTCTGTGCTGTAGGCGGCGTGGTGTAATTGACAGATCATCTGGTCTACTGATTATGTTTGTTCGCTACAGCCGCCGAATATAGTTAAGAAAGACCAATTTCAAAGCTTTGGGTAGTACGAATACGAGTTTAATTTCATAGATCTCTTTTTAGTGATTCTGATTTGCTTAATTTAGTTAATACTAGTGAATTATTTGAAATTTAAATTTGTTTTAGTTTTTATTATAAAGCCCCTAGTTTTTGCTATATATTTGAGTAGCTTTGCACTATTTTTTGTGCCTGAAACGGTCATCTGGTATACATACCTATAAAAACAGCTGAAATAATTTTAAAACTTTAAGATAACAAACACTTTTTTACGCCATCAGAAAGAGGAGGGCAAATTTTAAATTATGGTGGCTATCAATATTATCAAAATTATACAAGTTTAAAATCTGGAGATTCCACTTGGTTATGCATTAATCGTAAAAACGGATGTAAAGGCAAAGTTATTGAAAAAGGAGATTCTTATGAATTAATGTCTCCGCACAATTGTGATAATTATATTCTCAATGCTAAAAAGAAACAAGGAAAAGTTATAGAAGGTAAAAGTAATATTTAATATTTATTTCAAAAATTTCTGACAAAGATTTGCTTATTGAAATAAAAAAAAATAAAAAATTTTTAATAATTATCTTTTTATCTATAAGCTAAGCATAGCTAAACTCTTAACTTTATAATTTTGATAATCATAATAATATTTCCATTGAAATTACTAATACATATATATCATGGCATGACGAAATCTAAAAATAAAAAGCAAAATGCGGAAGCAAAATTAGCCCAGCTCTGATATATATGCTTTGCCGCATTTATCTAATCTAATGGATATAAAAGATTAAAAGATGAAAAGTTCGATGGAATAGGTCAAGCCCCCCTCTCACAGCCACAAGCCCCCCCCCCCGCCCTCACAGCCACGAAATAAACTTCTTTAACTTACAAATTTTTAAAATTTTTGCCTGCGGTACAATAAATCAGAATTTTTGGCGCCTTCGGTGCCAAAAATTTTTTTTATGTAAATTCCCGACTCCCGATCCCGATACCCGAGGTCATTACCCGTTTCCCGATTCTTTTCCTCCCGAGCATCACTATTACACCCACATTATAATCAATTCCTTAAAAATAGTATAATTATTCTTTTAATGTAAGTTAAATAATATACTTTTCTAATGATAATCATCTCATCGAAGGATTAAAATAATAAATACGCAGGGGAATCATTTGAGTAAATATGTTAGTTAATTATTGTTTTTAGGGGAGCCTGTTTTTAAACAATCGAGACAAGGGACAGATAAATTAGTTTTGGGTGGTTATGAATATACCAAAGAAATAATAAGAAAAAGTGGAAATATATATTGGATATGTAGTAAAAGACCTTGTAAAGGACGAGTAATAAATAAAGGAAATAAGTACTTTTTAACACAAGAACATGAAGAACAATACCATATTGAGGGAGAAGGTAATTATTATTGTAAATTCATAAAATTATATACATAGAAATTTAAAATAAAATTATATAGAATATTTAAAAAAATTTTTATTAGTGTTAATTGTAAATAGTAAACTAACAAATACATATACTAGAATAATATTTATTTTAATAGTTGCATTTCCTTTATTTTATATAAGCAGTAAATATTAAGTTGGAAAGAAAAAATTTCTAAAATTATATTAAATTTTAAAGTCGCAATGTCTCCATCAGTTTTAATTGTTATTCGATAAATTAGTTATTTAGTAAATTAATACATATCTTATTATGAATTTATTTTAATAGTTGTATGTATTTCTTTCATTTTAGTATATAAGCAGTAAATATTCATGCAATATCTGGAATCAGGATCAGAAAATAGCCTAATATATAGAAAATCTTCGAATTTGATCCGGAATTCGAGAAATCCGGGAATCGCATGATTTTGGTTATTGACAGTTTTCGCCCACGATTTCCGGTTACCACGATTTCCGGTTGCCCCACGATTTCCGGTTACCAGTTTCTGGTTAATCTAGACCTGTTTTGGACTGATTAAACGTAAACTGATAAAAAAACCCAATGAATTTTAGCTGTCGAATCCCTCATTCTGAAAATCGGAAATAAGTTTTTGTGTCTTGCCTCCCCGTCATTAATTTTCCTCATTTAATGTCAATCATGCTTTCCCTCACACAATATAAATAAAAGGCAAGTTAGAAGGAGCAAAAATATATACTCAAAAAGGAGGGATAATAAAGTAATCTAAGAAACTTTTCGAGTCTGTGAAGGGTCGATGCAGATAACTGTGATCAGGGTCTGATTAAAGTAAAAGAAAACATATACCTATTTTTGACAAATTAAATAAATTGAGAATATATAAGTATTAAAAATAGATTTTTAGTAGATTATTGAATAAATTAATCAATTTAGAAAAAGTTCTCATAGAGGCGGCAAACCACGTCGAGGTCACGACGAGGCAAAACAACATGGAGGTATTTTTATTGAAAATTGAAAATTTTCCTATCTATTTCACATGTTAGTTTAGATGGATTTCGTTGGATAATTTATTTTTTGATTTAGTTGTAGAACTATTTTATTATTGAAATTTAAGAACTAGAATTTGATCCTCGAGAAATACAACAAGCTATTAATCAGTCTGGTGAAGAATATCAAAGTGGACATAAAAGGGCACGGGGACTGATAATTAGAGGTATGATATATAAAACAATTTTATTTTAATTAATTAGAATATCAAACGAGATAAAAAATATTATTGTAAACCCCGGACTCGAGATTCGAAACCTACATTGTATTAAAGTCCCGTTCCCACACACGTATCCTTTTCAAGTGACTATCCTTACTTTAAACTTATTTCGTTTTTGCACATTTTATTGGGCTCTCACTCAATTTCTAATCTCTCCAACCGGCACTATGAAGGGATGTCTGACCGAAAGAACTGACGGCATAACTTTATATGGATATAAATCTTAATAATTTAGAACCAGCCCATGAACAAGAATCTGGGTCAAATCGAGGTAAAAAGAATATCTGTTTTTGACAAAATATTTTAATACTACAATTGAGAATATAAGTGAAAAAATTGAAATAAATAATAAATTTAGGAGAAAGTTCTATATCACCGAGGAAGCAACGCCGAGGGAGCATTCTAGGACCTGGAGGTTTTTTTCAAAATTAAAAAATAAGGTGATAAAAACTAAATTTAATAATTTCAACAGACAAAGGAAAGGAAAAGCTCTAGACTAACATGTTGGCAACACTGTTTCTAATGACAAGAAAATTTGAATGTTTGAAAAATTGAACAACAAGATAATCGGAACGGGCCACCTGAGCATTAGCCAAATTTGTTCGGCTATACTTTTTGCTGCTTAATTCAATACAAAAGTTTTATATAACAGTCTATTGCCCAATTGGATGAATCAAGTCTGATCGCACTATAAAAAATTACAAGTCGATATGTCTGAAAACAACGATTTTTGCACTTATCGAGTTTTATATTTTTAACCAATGATTAGATGAACCATCTAGTTAGGTTAAAGATTGGGCTGTAGAATGAATTAAGATTTATTCGGAATTGATCAATCTTAAAAAAGTTATAGTCGATCAAATTTAGCTGACGCTCAAGTGGCTACGCTCAACCTTCCCCAATCCACATAACGTACAGAAAAACTCTATTAGAATGCATCCAGCTTAATGTCAATCTTGAATAAAATGAAACATTAGAAGGTCTTTGAAAAATCGAATGAACAATGCATTCTTATAGAGATTTTACGATATATGCTCGAATAATTTCTCTCTCAGAAATAACACTATCTCGATTAATTATTCCCCTCAGTACGATGTTAAAACAATAAATACACTTACCAAATGCCTAATGCAACATATTGAACATCAATTACCTTGGTAATTATTTGAGCATATATGTACAGTATCCAAAACAAATAGTATTTTCAATTATTGCTTTATTTTTATCTTTAAACTTTTAATTTTAAAGCGTTCTGATTGATTTTTATTTTTAGTTTTTTAATGATCACATCCTACTCATTTACCGTGTTGCAGGGTTGCCGCCCGAAACGCGATACCCGAAACCCGGCCTTTTTTGTACTCGAAACCCGATACCCGAATTGAAAATTTTCCAACTCGAAACCCGTACCCGATATTTTTTCCAACCCGAAACCCGTGACCCGAAATTGCTTAAAACCCGAAACAAAACTTGGAAGAATTTGGCTTCTTAGTCTTCCAAAATTCCCAAAATTTTTGCCTGCGGCGCTGAAAACGTGAGAAAATTGTAGACTTTAATGGAAATAAAGCGGAGGGATGTTAGTGGGAATTTACCAATATAGTGGGATTTTACCAAGATATCCCTCTTAATCCCCAAATCCCACAATGTCACTTTAATCTCTTCGCATTTGCATCTCACTATATCACCCAAAATCCTATTATGCAACATAGCTTGTCTCCTTACAATTTAGTTCACCAATACCCGAACACCCGAAAATAACCCGAATTTTTCGCCAAACCCGAAACCCGTACCCGAAATTTTTGCCAACCCGAAACCCGATACCCGAAATGAAAACGCTCCAACCCGATACCCGAAACCCGTACCCGAAGATTTTTTGTACCCGCGGCAACCCTGATTTTAACATAAAGATTTTAAGGTTCTTCTACAAGGATGGAGATTAAATGCCAAATTTAATTATAGATTAATAAAGAATATTTGCCAACAATCTTGAAATGTAGAAATGAAAGAAGAGAGATAAATGAAAGGTTATAAAATTCTTAAATGAAGTTATTTGAAAATTATTTAAGTTATTAATTGATGGAAAAATTAATTTAAGAAAAATGATAATTAATGGTAAATGATTTTTTAAAATTTCTTTTAATTCAAATAAATCATTATAGAAATAAGAAATAAAAAGATATAATGGGCAGTTTAAATATAATAT